CCCATTTAAGTCCCAGGTTATGCCTCCTGCCTCAGGCATTAGTATTGCAACTTATCATGGACTCTCTCACTGGTAACTTTGCTTTACTCGTTTGGCTGCAAGATTTATCTGGGTTCTCATGAAGTTTCCTCTTGCCATGAGCTTATATTCCATGGAAGCCATTACTTCTACATCTGGTCTTAACTGGCCCGTGATCTGCTTTCCACTTGAATATATCCTGAACAAATATTTTGTTCATGCTGGTCCAAGATAAGTCTGTATTTTTTAATCTTTATTTTATTGTAAAGATGCTGTACAGAGGGGTTACATTTACATGAGTTAGGTAATTAGTACATTTCTTGTTAAGCAAGTCTATACTTTGGAATCATAGCACATCTATGGGACCACTATCCTCCCTAGGCCTAGGCTTGCGATCATGATACCATGGTATCATTCCCCAGGCCTCATTCCCCAGCAAAATATATGAGAAAGACTGGTGGTGAGCCAGATGCCAGTGGTTCACACCTGTAATCTTAGCTAGTTAGGAGGCTGAGATCTAAGAATCACCAGTGGAAGCCAGCATATGCAAAAAAGCCTGTGAGACTCTTATCTCCAATTAACCACCAAAAAGCTAAGGTGTGGCTAAAGTAGTAGAGTACTAGCGTTGGGTGAAAAAGAACAGGGCTCAGACCCTGAATTCAAGCCTTTCCACCCCCACCGGCAACACACACACACACACACACACACACACACAGACTGGGGATGGAGCAGTCAGTCATGCTCTAGATGAACTCACTACTACTGTGATCTTTTGGCTCTCTTTGGCCCTGCCTGGTATTTTCTACCAGCATCAACCAATTCTGCAGCTTCCACACTATTCCTCCCTATCCATTGAGTGAGATGAAGTCCTTGGCCTCAGTCCCAACTCTCTAGCTTCCTGACCTCCAGCAGTTTGGGGGAGCTTAATCCTCAGCCAGCCTGTCTCCAGCTCAGACAACAGCTTGGCGCCCCCAGCCTTTGCCTGACTAACCCATCCAGATGAGAGGAGAGGCCACAGACACAGAAGACAGATGCCCCACCCTTCCATCTCTCCTATGCCTTCCTGGCTTTAGAGCTCTTCCCCTCTCTGCCATTTCACAATGAGGAGCTCTTCTCAGCCCTGGCTGCTTCTTGCCTGTAACTAACCCATTCACGAGCCCAAAGGCTTTCTTCTTCCTTTGTCAGTCCCAGGTCTCCAATGTGACTTCTAGCTTAGGTTACTGTGCCCAACTTGCTATTTCTTTATTGACTGGGCCATCTATGTTCAGATGGTGTTGTATCCCTCTCTGAAATGCAACCTGTTCTTCTCTGTTCTTCAGAAAAGAACATAGCCTGGGGAAGTTGAAGCACTAGTGAGTTCAATAAACTCGTGCCCCAGGATCACCTGAACTCATCCCCTTATTTACCTTAATTGTCTAACTTAATGCCTAAATTCTCAAGAGGTTTATCCCCACACGCTTTTATATGTTATATGTTATGTAAACCTTATAACAATACTGAAGGCAAAGCCAGGTCCATCCTTATCACCCCATCCCAGCACTCAAGAGGCTGAGGCAGAGGATCATGAGTTGAGGCCAGGATGAGCTATATAGTGTGTCTTGTCTCAACAGCCCTGGAGGCAGGTGGAGAAAAGGATTGTGATTTCTCTTTTAGATATGATGAAATATGTAATATGCCCAGAGAGGGAAAGTAACTTGCCAAGAAAACACAGGTAGTAAAACTAAGGAACCAACATCCAGATATATACTTCAAATTGAATTGTGTAGGTCTATACCAGATTACCTTCCTCAGAGGAGCCTGGCACTTTGCATTCCTCCTTGCTACCCCATCCTTACCTCGAGAAGAAGCCTATCAGCCAAACAGTATCTACAACAGCCACTGAGTGTCCACCATTCCCTCCACCCCTTGGCCTCTTCTCCCCCACACATGAGTTCTGAGCTTCCAGGACTGAGAGCTGGAGGTTCAGAGGGGCCAGCGAGGGAAGGGGGAGGGGAACAGCTATCTCCAAAACAACCCAGGCAGCTGTCCCTGTCACAGACAGAAGAGACTCTATGCTGGTGTGTTTCTGTCTGCCTGAATATAGGAACATATGTGTGGGAGAGTGTGTGTTTGCGTCCCTTGAACTCCAAGTCCAAGTGCTCATTGTGTCTGAATGGCAGCCTCTGTGTGTGTGTGTGTGTGTGTGTGTGTGTGTGTGTCTGTCTGTCTGTCAGTCTTTGAGAACAGTCTATACTACTTTCTCGGCTTTGTCTTTTACTTTGGTGCTTATCCCTCCTTACCCTGCCTCCCTCTGCCAAAATAGAGGATGAAATCAAGACCCAGGTGAAATGCTAGTGGGGGCAGCAGGGGAGGGCGGGGGAGGTTGGAAAATTAGAAGTCAGGAGCCCAAAGAGACTAAAGGATGAATGGTAATAGGACCTAGTTTTTACCACAGGCAAGCCTCTCTGTCCCTTTCCTCTGCTGTGTGTTGGCCCATGCATGGTTTGAATTTCAAGGTCACTTGGGGTCTGAGGAAAGGGCAAACCTCAGAGTACCCCTTTTTTCTAGCTTTCAGTTCTGAGCCCTCCTCATCTTTGGGAAGAACTTCTGGTCAAGAATGCCACAAGTCCCTCCCAAGGGCCTCTCCCTTCCAGTGGAGCCTAAGTTTTCCAGTTCCAAGGTCTGGATACTGATTTCAGACCAGGAAAAGGAGATAAGTGGGGCATACCTCCCTCCAGGCCTGAGTTCTCTCTCTCTCTCTCTCCTTCCCTCCCTCCCTTCCCCTCTTCCCTCCCTCCCTCCCTCCCTCTCTCCCTCCCTTCCTTCCTTCCTTCCTTCCTTCCTTCCTTCCTTCCTTCCTTCCTTCCTTCCTTCCTTCTTTCCTTCCTTCCTTCCTTCCTGGGTTCTCTCCAGCTATTCCTTTCCAACCCAATAAAAAAGGTCCAAGGTTAAGACCCTCTGCCTATGAAACAGCAGGGAACCCCGTAGGTTGACCCCTGTTCCACTCAGCCTGGCTCAGCTGTGCTCACTGAGTTGCTTGAAGGAGCATTACCATGTACAAACACAGGCCGCTGCCCATCTGTACCTCCTTGAGAAAGGCTCCTCATAAACTCAGAGCAGCCAAGTGACGCACATCTCAATCTAGACTAATGCACCCTATTAATGCCACTCCATGAAGCCTGCATCAAGTTCCTGATAACGGGGAGGGAATCTGGGGAACGAAGAGATCGTCCCACCTAGCTGTATACCCTGTCCCTTGATTCCTGTTCTCCTCTAATAAAGAAGCAGCCAGAGTCTTGAGCTCCAGTAGTGCCCCTTTCTCATCGTCTTATCAGAGGGGGAAACGTGAAGAGGGACCTAGTAGGCTCTTGGGTTAGGGAGGACTGACAGGAAGAAGGTCTTAGTGGTGCAGGCAGGCCTATTACCTGGAGTGGGCTGCTAGAAGCCAGTATGAGATGGAGGAATGACTAGTGGGATGTGAGATGTGTGTGAGCAGACAAGAGACAGATAGGACCCAAGTACTCTATGGTTTTCAAATTTGGTTTTTATATTGGGACACTTTATTCAAACAAAATCTCTTCAGAAATTATAAACAAAACAGGCGAAAGCAGGGACTGTCTTCATGGAAAGACTCAAGCAAAGCCAGGCTGGAGTCTGAGCTGAATCCTAGGGAACACAAGGTGAAAAAGCAAACAAAGGAAAACATTCACGAGTTCCACCAACCTGGTGGGACTAGGTCACCACTTGCAAGCTCTGTGACTTTAAGCAAGTTACTTCAAAGCTCAGTTTCCTGGGGCTGGGAATGTGGCTTAGTGATAGAGTACTTGCCTAGCAAGTATGAAGTCCTCGGTTCCATTCTTCAATACTACATAAACAGAAAATGCCAGAAGTGGTAGAGTGCTCAAGTGGTAGAGTGCTAGCCTTGAGCAAAAGAAGCTCCAGGACAGTGCCCATGCCCTGAGTTCAAGCCCCAAGACTGGCACGCACGTGCACGCACACACATACACACACAGAGCTCAGTTTCCTCAGCTGAAAAAAGTAATACAAGTTGAGCATCTGAAGGTCCAAAATCCAAAATATTCTGAAGTCCGAGACTTCTTTAGTGTACTTTGGGTTTTAAATTTTCAGGTTAGGGATACTTAACTTGTAAATCAATATAAATATTCTCAATTCCCGCTGTCCCCCTCCCCCAAGTCTGAAATCTCAAGCCTCTGATTCCAAACGTTTTGGATAAGGGATATTCAATTACCTGTATCAATTACCTAATCATGATGTATTCTGTGTAGCTAATGAGACAAAGGTTCACAGTAAGTACCATAAGTGATACTAGTTATTCTTCTTCTTCTTCTTCTTTTTTTTTTTTTCTGTCGGTCATGGGGCCTGAATTCTGGGCTTGGGCGCTGTCCCTCAGCTCTTCAGCTCAAGGCTAGCGCTCTACCACTTGAGCCACAGCGCCACTTCCAGTTTTTTCTTCTTATGTGGTGCTGAGGAATGGAACCCAGGGCTTCATGCATGCAAAGCAAGCGCTCTACCACTGAGCCACCTTCCCCAGCCCCAAATAACATCTGTCCCATGGAAGGTGAAATACATGTTCCAGCGGTCTCGAAGGTGTGGTTGGCAGAGAGGCACGTATGAGGTTATAGGGCTACTGAGAAGTCTTCAGGCGCGGCGGAATCGAGGATGTGATGCCAGTAGAGTGCACTTTCCTTAATTCAATAAATGGGGAACACCAACTGTGCAGCGGGCATAGTTCAAGATGCCCTACAGTCAACAATCTAGAAGGTGCCTAAAACCTCCCAGCACACACCATTTTCCTCTTCGGCTGCTATTTCTCACGCTATCGGAGCTCAACCCACTCAGGGTGGCTTTCTGTTGGTGACTGAGAAAGAGAGCAAGGAACGGGTGGTGAAACCTTACTAGGACCTGGGATCTGGGATAGCCTGTGATTTTTTTCACACACACCTCCCCCACCCCTGTTAATCTGGTCTGCCTTTTCCTTCCAGAACCTTCCCTCCATGGAGTTCGGGCTGCTCAGCGAGGCAGAGGCCCGGAGCCCGGCCCTGTCGCTGTCAGACGCGGGCACTCCACATCCTCCGCTCCCAGATCACGGCTGCAAGGGCCAAGAGCACAGTGGTGAGCGCGCCCTTCCGGGGGTGGGGGGCGGAGTTCAGAACAGTTCAGCTCCCCAGTGGGGGGGGGGGCGGGGGAAGGGGGCGCGTGGGAAACCCGGAGTAGCAACCTGGGTGAGAGCCAGAGGGGAGGTTGAGGAGGTCCCCCGAGCTGGAGGATCGGCCTCATCCTGCTCCTCAGACTCCGAGAAAGCTTCGACCTCGCTGCCCGGGGGCTCCCCGGAGGACGGCTCGCTGAAGAAGAAGCAGCGACGGCAGCGCACGCACTTCACCAGCCAGCAGCTGCAGGAACTGGAGGCGACCTTCCAGAGGAACCGCTACCCCGACATGAGCACGCGGGAAGAGATCGCCGTGTGGACCAACCTCACCGAAGCCCGAGTGCGGGTACGGCTCTGGCTAGCCGCCCTCCTCACCCCCCTCCCCACTCGGCAGATCCCCGGTCTCCCTTCTGCGGGACCCTCAACAGATCGTGAGGCTGCCCTGCCCGCCCCAGCCCGCCCCCGGCCCCGCCCCGCCCCTCCCGGGCTCCCCGGGCCTGCGGTTCGCAGCCCAGCGCCCTCCAACTTTTCAGCGCTGCTCTTAGGGTTCCGATTGCTCCGGAACGCTCATTTCTTTGTCCTGGACTCGGTCCCCCTCCCTCAGCACCCTTCCCCCCCCACACACACTTGATCGCAGGCTACTCTCCCCCACCCTGTGGCCGTCACCCGCTCCGCGCCCTCCTCCCCTTCCTTTCAGTCTCCAGACCCTTGGCCTCATTTATCCTACCACGGCCCAGGTTCGAACCCCTCATCCGAGTCACCCACTGATCTGCCCCTCTACCGGCCTCCGAGGTCCCCGTCCCGCGGCGCCGGGCGTCCTGACAGCCTGTCTCCCGCGCCCGCAGGTGTGGTTCAAGAACCGGCGCGCCAAGTGGCGGAAGCGCGAGCGCAGCCAGCAGGCGGAGCTGTGCAAGGGCGGCTTCGCGGCGCCGCTCGGGGGGCTGGTGCCGCCCTACGAGGAGGTGTACCCCGGCTACTCCTACGGCAACTGGCCGCCCAAGGCGCTCGGCCCGCCGCTCGCCGCCAAGACCTTCCCCTTCGCCTTCAACTCGGTCAATGTGGGGCCTCTGGCTTCGCAGCCCGTCTTCTCACCACCCAGCTCCATCGCCGCCTCCATGGTGCCCTCGGCCGCCGCTGCCCCGGGCACCGTGCCAGGGCCCGGGGCCTTGCAGGGCCTGGGCGGGGCACCTCCGGGGCTGGCTCCTGCGGCCGTGTCCTCCGGGGCTGTGTCCTGCCCTTACGCCTCGGCCGCCGCCGCCGCTGCCGCCGCCGCCGCCTCCTCCCCCTACGTCTACCGGGACCCGTGTAACTCGAGCCTGGCCAGCTTGAGGCTCAAGGCCAAACAGCACGCCTCCTTCAGCTACCCCGCGGTGCCCGGGCCGCCCGCGGCCGCCAACCTCAGCCCGTGTCAGTATGCCGTCGAAAGGCCCGTATGAGCGGCGGGGCCTGTGGATCACACCCCCAAGGGCGGGACAGTGCTTCACCTCCTCCCCGGACTGGGGTTGTCTAGACTGGCTGGCCCTGACCCCAGGGTCTCAGAGGGTGCTTGGGCAGCTGGGGGACGGAGGGGCGGGGATGGAGAGGGCGGCTGGCTCCAGATAGGGGCCTGTCCCCTCGCAGCCCCCGAGGGGGTGGACTGGGCTCTACTGCGCCCACCCCCACTCCCGCCTCCGGGACTAAGGCCAGGAACTGGGACCAGCTCCCTAGGAGCCAATTTACCCTTGGCTCCCCTCCCGCCTTCTCCAGACTCCCCTACCCTATTTTCAAAGATCAGTGAAATAAACGTGCGCGGACTGTCAAAGGCTGGATGATTTAGAGTTACGGTTGGGCCCTCTTCCCTGCTTTCTCCCCCCTCGTCTAAAGGAGAGCTGCACGCACAGCAGCCACAAGCTGAAAAGGCCAGGCTGGTCGGGTTCAGTCTCACTCACCTCCTTCAGCCTAGGGAGGCCGGGACTCCTACAGCAAAGGGATGCGCAAGTGGATGGAGCGTTGGCCCTGGCCAGAGGTGGTGCTGTGGCGCCACCTCGTGGTCTCGGGAGGACAAATGGTAAGTGTGGTCTTGAATTGCTTCCTTGCGGGGATCAGTTTTGCAATTTAGGAAGCCTATGACTTCAGAGAAGTTACTCCGCCTTTGTGCACCTGTTTCTCACTGTTCCTATGGGGAAGCTTAGCCCTCTATCAGCAATAAAATTCTGGTCTGTGACAGACATTTATGAAGTGCCTACCAGGCCTAGGACTCTTATTGAGTGTCTGTGTGTGCCTCTAACCTTCCACACACGTTCCGGCTTCCCCGCTGAGGATCACCCCATTGCCAGCAACCTTCACCCACCACAGAAGTCCCTCACTTCCCCAAATCCCCAAAATATTGTTGATATCTCTAATTTTAAAATAGACGTAAGAAGAAAGATTTTCTAGGTAGAAATATGAGTAATTCTAGGAACTCTCCTCCATCCTGCCTCCTTCGCCAATGGCCTGGCTGGCCTACACGTCAGACACAGAAACTTCAAAGTATCCCATTCTATGGCTGCTACTTGCGGCCATAGAGGGTATACATCCTATTGGGAAGCCATATAGGGAAGCAACCCTAATCATTCTCCTAAACCTAAGCCCTGACCTTAGTGCCCTGGGAAAAAGAGAGACCCACTAGTTCCTTCTCTCCAACCCTTCACTGGCTTTTGGCCTTAGGCTTCATGTAGGTTTGGTAGAAGAAGTGGGCAAAAAGGATCAAGTAGGATGCATACAGGACAAAGGACCAGAAGAAGTGTTCTGTTGTGGTGTGACATCCATGTTCCTGTCTCCAAACGTAGTTCAGGATGCCAAAGGTGGTTCCCAAAGCCATCTGCAGGATCTGTAGGCTTGTGATGAGTATAGGAAGCCTTCTGGGGTACTTCATTTTGGCAGCTTTCAGAGTGTAGTAGGTGTACATAATGGAATGCACACCGAAGTTCATGGTCATAAACCAACCACCTGAAGGCACTTTGTTCTTATATCCAAAGCTTGTGTACAGCAGCACTGTGCTGTGGTGGAACCAGTGTATAAAGATGAGTGGCCGCTTACGCAAGATGATGAAGACCGTGTCTCCTGGGAAATGGGAGTCATAACTGGCATAGCACCCAGTGCTGGGACTACCCTCTACACTGTGTGTGGGGGACACTGGAGGAATTCTCAGGATAGGGAGGAGGGTGTTTGTGGCACAGAATTTGGAGAGAAGCTGGAGTGAGATGTGTGGTTCGGACACCGTGGGGCGGGGCGGGGGGGGGGGGGAGAACTCTGAGGAGGCACACAAATCACTGGGCACCAAAGAAACTCACCAAGTTCAACAACTTTGCTGAGAAGAAAAAGGCACGACCAGAATTTGACTACAATGTGATCCGTGAAGAAGGAGAAGCACACAGTTGGTTTTAGGCCACTGGTCAGTATCACATTGGCCATATAGCTCCATGTCCTCACTGTCCCCATGATACTGAAATAGGACAGAGAAAGAAAGCGTAAGATTGTTCCCAAGCACCAGCCCACCCTTCCCCCTGGTCTGGCTAGGCCATTAAGTCTCAAGCTTCATCATCACTCCACTCCACCAGGAGTAGAGGTTACAGCTTCAGAGCTCCTAGGGCCAATCTGGTAGCTCCAACCAGTATTCTATAGGAAAGGATGGGCAGAAAAAGACCAAGAACTGTAGAGAAGTAGAATTAAAAATGAAAATATACAGCCAGGAGCCAGTGGCTCATGCCTGTAATGCTAGCTACTCAGGAAGCTGAGATCTGAGGATCATGGTTCAAAGCCAACCCAGGCAGGAAAGTCCATGAGACTTTTATCTCCAATAAACCACTAGAAAACCGGAAGTGGTGCTGTGGCCAAGTGGTACAGGGCTAGCCTTGAGCTGAAGAGCACAGGGAAAGTGCTCAGGCCCAGAGTTCAAGCCCCACGTCTGACAAAAAAAAAAGAAAAATAGAGTTCTTGGTATGGGGTGGGAGATTCAGAGGAAATACTGGCAAGATGGGGAAGATGAAAAAAAAATTTAGGGGAAGAAAATATCAGAAGGAGGGATATCAAGCCGGGCGCTGGTGGTTCACGCCTGTAATCCTAGCTACTCAGAAGCCTGAGATCTGAGGATCACTGCTCAAAGCCAGCCCGGGCAGGAAAGTCATGAAACTCTTATCTCCAATAAACCACCAGAAAACCAATATAGAGTAGGGTAGAAGCCAGGCTCCAGTGACTCACGCCTGTAATCCTTGCTATTAAAAGGCTAAAATCTGAGGATCATAGTGAAAGCCAGCTTTTTTTTCTTTTTCTTTCTTGGTCAGTGAGGAGCTTGAACTCAAGGCCTGGATGCTGTCTAAGCTTTTATGCTCAAGGCCAGCACTCTACCACTTTGAGCCACAGCTCCACTTCTGGTTTTCTAGTGGTTAATTGGAGGTAAGAGTCTCATAGATTTTCTTGCCCCAGCAAGCTTTGAACCATGATCCTCATATTTCAGCCTCTTGAGTAGGTAGGATTACGGGTGTGAGCTGCTGGTGCCCAGCTGGTGAGACTTTCATCTCCAATAAACTACCAGAAAACCTGAAGTGGTGCTGTGGCTCAAAATGGTAGAGTGCTGGCCTTCTGTGAAAAAGTTCAGGGACAGCACCCAGGCCTTGAGTTCACAACTAAACAGAAAGAGAGAGAGAGAGATAGAGAGAGAGAGAGAGAGAGTAGAAGCTAGGAGTCAATGCAATTGAGATTGTTGGGAAACTTAAAGGAATAAGATGGGGCTGGCATTGATCAAAATGTATTGTATTCATAATTTGGCTTGTTGAAATGAAACTCCTTTGTACAACTACATAAAATAAATAATTTAAGCCAGGCACCTGTGGGCTCATACCTGTTACCCTAGCTATTGAAGAGGCTGAAATCTGAGGATTGAGGTTTGAAACCATCCCTGGTAGGAAACTCATGAGACTCCTATTCTCCAATTCACCACCAAAAAAGCTGGAGGTGGAGCTGTGGTTCAAGTGGTAGAGTCTTGAGCAGAAAAGCTAAGGTACAGCACCCCAACCCTGAGTTCAAGCCCCAGTATTGGCACAAAAGTAAATAAAAATAATAATAAAGAGATGAGATGCAAGTTTAAGAGCTAAAGAACAAGCAGTGGGAAGGGAATTGTCTTACCTGAAGACAGCAAGGCAGAAGGACCAGAAGATGAGAGGTCTTTGCAAATTGAAGCCCTTCCGTGTCTTCATATAGTTCTGGCCCACAATGATGAACAGCAAGTAGATCAGAACTATGGGGAATGAGGATATCCTGGAAGATAGAAGTTACAGGGGATGAGCTTATGAATGATACTGCTTAAAGGAATGTCTATTCATTTCTTTTTCTTTCTTTTTCTGCATGTCCTAGGGCTTGAACACAGGGCCTGGTTGCTATCTCTGAGCATTTTTGCTCAAGGCTAGCGCTGTACCACTTGAGCCACAGCTCCACTTCTGGCTTTATTGGTGCTTAATTGGAGATAAGAATCTCACAGACTTTTCTGCCAGGCATGGCTTTGAACTGCAATTCTCAGATCTCAGTCTCCTGAGTTGCTAGGATTACAGGCATAGCCACCAGCATCCAGATTCCCTCATTTCTTTGGGTGAATGCTCTAGATTATAGTTCCAACTTGGTCATCTACCAGGTGTGTGACTTTTTTTTTTTGGTCAGTTATGGGGCTTGAACTCAGGGTCTAAGCACTTTCCTTGAGCTTTTTGCTGAAGACTAGTGTTCTGCCAGTTTGAGCCACAGTACCACTTCTGGTTTTTGAATGGTTAATTGGAGATAAGAGTCTCATGAGGACTTGTCCTCCCAGGCTGGCTTTAAACTGTGAACCTCAGATCTCAGCCTCCTGAATAGCTAGGATTATAGGCATGAGCCACCAGCACCTGGCCTATGTGTGACATTTTTGTCTTTCCTTATTTTTACAGAAGGGTTAATGCTCCTTTCCTGGTAATGTTAATGTATATAAAATACTTAACACAGAGCAGGCCTAGAGCCAGATTTCTGTAATCATTGCTTTCTCAATGAGGTTGGAGGTAAATGACAGAATCTTCCAGTCCCCACCTAGAACTAACCCACGGTCGTGGTGTAAGAAGAATGTGGCAAAAGCTTCTGCCTGGTTATATAATGGCAAATTGGTTGGAAATAAAGTCAACCCACAAACACTTCTGAGGAATTTTAGGACTAAGCCAAAATGCCTGGGGAAGCTGAAAAGCATTCTATGATGTTGCAGCAAGAATATGATCATTGTGTATGGAGGGTTGTTTCTAAGCATGAATACTATGCACACAGACATGCTCATACAATTACAAAGAATAAGAAAGGTTATCATATGGGTCAAATCAATCTTATTCCTCCAAGATGGATTGGATCTCACTACATTAGTCTTCCTTTTCCTCTATCTTCTCCCATATTCTTCTCTGTGCCTCCTTATTTCTGCATCCTTTATTCCCGCTCTAAATCTCTTTGAAATGCTATAGTGAGCCAGTTGCCAAGGGCTCAAGCCTGTAATTCCCACTCAGATGGCTGAGATTTGAGGTTCAAAGCCAGCCCAGGCAGGAAAGGCTGTGAGAGTCTTAACTCCAATTAAAAACCAAAAAAAGCCAGAAGGGGAACTCTGGGCTCAAGTGGTAGAGCACTAGCCTTGAGCACAAAAGCTCAAGGACAGTGCCCAGGCCAAATTCAAGCCCCAGGACAGTTACCAAGTGGGGGGAGGGGGTAAGAAGGAAAGAAGAGGAGAGAGAAAAAGAGAAAGAAAGAGAAGGAAGGAAGAAGGGAGGAAGAAATTCTTACTGTCAT